GACAAAATTAACAAGAATAAAGGAAGGAAGGAAGAAAATTGCTATTGCTTAACGCACTGTAAGCCGCCCTGAGTCTCCGGAGAAGGGCGGCATATAAATCAAATTAAAATAAGAATAATAATAATAATAATGAACAGGGCCACGCTGCTTCCCAGGGCCATTCAAAGAAAACCAGACCCCCTCCCACCCCAATTCTTCTCTCCATCCATCCGCCTTCCCTGTTCTCTGCTGGTCATGGAGAGATCTACAAATCTCCTCCCTGCTCACACTTCGGTCTTCTCACTAAGACAGCAGGCATTTCTAAACATTTTGTTGCAAAATAACGCAGAAAGAAAAACAACCCAAGAGGATTTAAGGAGACTTTAATGACTAACAAAGAAAGCAGCCAAGAAAAACTGTTGCTAAATTATCGGTGCTGTCCTGAGCCGGTCACTGGCAGGAGATGCTAGAACTGGCTCTCCAAATCAGCCAAGTGGGGTCAGGAAGGATCACTCAGGCTCTGAATGGAAGGCCAAGCGGGGATTCGCTCCGAGGGCTGTTGGCTACTCCGACAAACACAACACAACAACTCCTAGGCAACCCTCTGCAATTCCTTTTCCCAGGAAACTGCAGGGGGGACGCAGGGCCAAACGCAAAGTGAGAAGGTTACATTCTTGGGTAGCAAGAAAGTGGATGGGACGAGAAGGCCGGATCAAATCTTTTCTCCGCTGATTCTCCCATTTCGGTCCCCTCTCACCTGCTTTGCTCCCCTGAAGGATTCCCTCCTATTTCCCCCACAACAACCTTGCGAGGTGGGTTAGCCTGCGAGGTGCATGACAGCAGCCAAAAAAAGCCAACACAGTTCTGGGCTGCATCAACAGAGGGATAGAATCAGGATCACGTGAAGTGTTAATACCACTTTATAAGGCCTTGGGAAGGCCACACTTGGAATCCTGCATCCAGTTTTGGTCGCCACGATGTAAAAAAAAAGATGTGGAGACTCTGGAAAGAGTGCAGGGAAGAGCAACAATGAGGATTAGGAGGGTAAAACATACAAAGAACGGTTGCTGGAATTGGGTATGTCTAGTTTAATGTAAAGAAGGTTTGGGGCAGAGGTGGGTTTAAGCAGGTTCTGGCTAGTTCTGGAGAACCGGTAGCAGAAATTTTGAGTAGTTCGGAGAACCGGTAGTAAAAATTCTGACTGGCCCCGCCCCCAGCTGATTGGGAGGAAATGGGGATTTTGCAGTAACCTTCCCCTGGATTGGGAACGGAATGGATATTTTACAGTATCTTTCCCCTGCCGCGCCCACCAAGCCATGCCACACCTACCAAGCCACACCCACAGAACCGGTAGTAAAAAATTTTAAAACCCACCACTGTTCAGGGGTGACATGATAGCATCTTCCAATATTGGAGGGGCTGCCCCAAAGAAGAGGGGCTCAACCTATTCTCCAAAGCACCTGAAGGCAGGACAAGAAGCAACGGATGGAAACTAATAAAGGAGGGAAGCAACGTGGAATTAAGGAGAAATTTCTTGACATTGAAAACAATTAACCAGGGGAACAGGAGTTGCCTCCAGAAGTTGGGGGTGCTTCACAACCAGAGGCTTTCAAGAAGAGACTGGTCAGCCACTTGTCTGAAATGGTATAAGGTCTGAAGAAGGGGGTTGGACTAGATGACCACTAGGGTCCTTTCCGACTCTGTTATTCTATGTTCTGAGGGACTGTTCCAGAGTCACCCAGTCGGCATTTATGGCTAAAATGAGACTAGCTTGTTATTAATAATGTACATCACTGGTTGAGATGGGTGGCGACAGAAATTAGTCAATCAAACAAATAAATAAAATTGACATATCCATCAGTTCATCTTCAGAAGCCTAGGGCAGCTGAAGGGAGTCTTCATCCTTCATCCTGAAGGCACCACGTAATTCTGGGTTGATTTGGTAAAAAAAAAAAACACAACAAGGCTAGCAAACATGGGCTCTTTTCCTACCACCATGTAGGACCAGGGAGAGAACTACGGGCCTTTTATGACTTGTGGACTTCAACACCCAGCATGGCTGGCTCAGGAATTCTGGGAGTTGAAGTCCACAGGTCATAAAAGGCCCGTAGTTCCCCACCTCTGATGTAGGAGGGCAGCCCACTTACTCTACGTAGGAAAAAGATCAGAGGGAGCCTGCAGCCCCTTTCCCAATGAACAAACTGCAGCTGAAAGCTTTGAATAAAATTTAGTTGGTTGGAAAAAGAGCTTTAAGTCTCCCTCTGATCTTTTCTTCCTGTTGCTGGAAAGTGCACTAGCCACAGTGAAGAGGCTGCATTCACACAAATGCTACTTTCTCTGTTTGTTTTGTTCAGAGTAACCTGCTTCCAACCGCAAGGCTTACAGCTTCTGCAGCCAGCAGCAGAAAGTGGCAAAAGGACTAAGCCAGATCTGGAGACGGACGCAAGACTTCCATTAACTCCACAAGACCATCGGAAGGATGCAAGATAAATTATCCTAAAACTCTCTCTGTGGCCCAAGAAAGCATATTTCCTAAACTGTAATCTGGGGCCAGGGCCGGATTTAGATGAAAAGAGGCCCTAGGCTATTCCATTTATGAGGCCCTTTCACCTATAGTGAAAGTGTAATTTTAATTTTGCTAACAATTTGAATGTAGGCCCCTCTTGATCTTGAGGCCCCCTCTTGATCTTGAGGCCCTAGGCTGAAGCCTAGTTAGCCTATAGGAAAATCCGGCCCTGTCTGGGGCTGGAGTAGAAGACCTCAAAGGTCCCTTCCGTCTCTGATGTTCTTTTGTTGTTCTGTGCTCTTGAATTGTTCCTTTTCACATAATCATGCAGGGGTTAAGATGATTTAACTGCCCGCTCCCACTTGCTCTCCGGAACATATTGATGCGTGCCACACTCTGCAAGGGCACCAGGACAAGAGACAGGTGGGCGTAGGGCCACCAGCCGAAGAAGGGAAGGGCCCCCAACACAAGTCACCACTTTCTTCCTAGCTGGCCCTGTTAACAATTTTTTTTTCTGACCCACAAAAATCTGTGGCTAGCGAAGAGATCAAAGCAAAGATGCACCTTCTCGGTTTCAAGTATCTCTGCTTTGAATAAGTTTCATAAATAACAATTCTTTCGGGGGGGGGAGGGCAAATGTTCCACCCGAGAGAACCCTCCCTGCTGTGGTAGCTGCAGTGGATCCTGGGCATGTTTGCAATTTTTCAGGCTGCGGATCTATTTAGTTGAGAGGCTCCAATCTGGCGATCGGAAATGGGCTTGAGTGACAGGCACGATGGTGGTAGGACTGCTCTTTGTCCCTTTGGGAGTGTCACCAGCTTTCCATGCATTTTGCAAAACGTTTCTCCAAGGCAGCGTTTCTTAAAGCACAGTCGAAGGAGCCCCGAGACCCTCTCAGGGGCCCCACAAAATCAAAACTATTTGCCAGATATTAATTTAATTTTTTTAGAAAAAAGCAATGTCACTTTTCTCACTGTGTTTTAATGCAGTGGTTCTTGGCCTTTCTCTTCACCACCTACCTCCTATAAATCCCTTTTGTGGCCAGAGGCCACAGACCCCCAAGATTAACTCAATATTTAAATCATAACATTTTTGTCAAGCTTTTGCAAACCTTGGACAAACATCACGCTCCCCCCATCTGCAGGGTTCTGCAGACCACAGGCTGAGAGCCTCTGTTTTAATGTATTCAAAATATAGAGTTTTTTCATGAATAATATTTATTTGTTCATATCTAATGGGTTTCATATTCTTATTTTTACATGATTCAAAGAAATACATGTTCTACAAATGCATCCATTTTGATTTTTAATATGGTAAAAACATCGATGACTCTATAGCCCATGCAAATAAAAACTCTTTCGGGGTCCTCCATAATTTTTAAAAGTGGGGGGAGGGGCTGGGAGGAAAAAGTTGAATAAACACAGCTTTAGACCAACCCTTCGGCTCTGCTGAGTGTTTTCCCCCCATCTTCCTAATATTTCTCCCTCTGCAAAAAATGTTCCCCTGCAGTATGTGTGCAAAAAAAATCAGGAGTCTGGAAGCTCTTTCTTTAAACTGAAAGGTATAAGGTTTCATGAACTGTAGTTGATGCCTTTTAATAAAATTTGCTTGCCAAAAAAGATGCTTCCAGATTCCCATATATTTTTTTGGCCACTGGAGACTATCAGCCTTCTTCCTCCCTTCCGCCTGGGGAGGGGGGAATGGGGGGGGGAACAAGTCATCTTTTCAGGAAGATGTTTTCCTGATCCCCCCCCCCACAATTCTGGAGACATTTCTAGGAAGCCAGAAGATTCCAGGGGAAAAAACGTTCTTGCAAGGCTGCCTCAGCCCATCCTCAAAGCTACAGTAAGCCGGTTACACTTTCCTCCCGTTTCATACAATGGAAATTCAAACTGGGGAAAAGCCCAAAAGCTTCATGCAGTCTAGTTCTTTCATCACAAACTTTTTACATAGGAAAATATTTCCCAGATCCCTCAAAGTGCTGCCAGAGAATGCCAGGAGAAGGGAAACAGGAATGGGAACAAGAGGGAGGGGAGGGAGAGAGGGAAGGAAGGAGGTGGGAGAAGGGAGGGAGGGAGGGAGGGGGAAGGAAGGAAGGAAGGAAAAAGAGGGAGAGGAAGGAATGAAAGAGGGAGGGAGAGAAGGAAGGGAGAGGAAGGAAGGAAGGAAGGAAGGAAGGAAGGAAAGAAAGAGGGAGGGAGGGAGGAAGGAAGGTTGTCTAGTAAACTTCCCCCACTGCTTAAAGCCAAGGAGTGGGACAGAAGGGAAGGTGGCCTCGCTCCCTCAGCCGGCCCTTCGTCCCCCGCGGGAGCCCCGACAGGAGGAGCCGGACCCCGAAGGGAAAGGAAGAGCCGCCCCGTCCAGCCGATCAAAGGCCCCGTTCGCCCCGAAGGGCAGCGCGGCGCAAGAGCCCCGAAGACCCGCCGGCCCCCGAGCGGCTTGGCAGGGAGGCTTCGACAGCTCTCCTCCCCCGTCGGGGCTGCTCCCAGCGCCTCCGCCCGCGCCCCGCCGGTACCTTCAGCTGCGGCTGCTCCGGCTCCGGCTCCGGCCGCCGAGGCTCTCCATGGCCCGCGCGCCCCGGACCCGGCGGCTCTTCGGCGGGCTGCCCAGGCGCCTCGCTCGGGCCGGCCGCAGAAGGCAGCGCAGCGCTGGGTCGGCGGCTGCTCTGGCTCGGCCGGCGCGAAGGCAGCCCCAGCGGAGGAGCGGCCGGCGGGGCAAGTGCGCGCTCTCGCTCCGGTCCCGGCGCCGCCAAGTGCCGCGAGCCGCCGCTGCCCCGCTGCCTCCTTCCTGGGCTGGCGGGGAGGAGCCTGGGGGCGTCTCTGCGGGCGGCTCCCCAGCGCAACTTCGCCAGCCCCCCCCCTGCGCTCAGAGCGAGCCCGAGGCCGGCTGGGGAGGGTCCCCGCTTTGCAGCCAGGCGCTTCTCTCCCCCCTGCAGCTCTCGCGCTCCCTGTGTCCCCCTCCCTCCCCCCCTCTCTTCTAAAGGGACTTGGAGTGCCATACAAATTAAATCTTCAAAACATCAGAACTGCACATAAAACATTGTAAAAATATTATTTTTGGTGCCTACAGCCGCATCCCATGCAGGGGGCAGGCTGCCATCCACCAGGTGCGCTGAAAAAAAAATCAAGCCAGGCAAGCTGCAGTGACCCACTTAACAACCCAGGCAGCCTTTGGACAGGATGAAAGAACCTGCTTTGACCAGGAGGGTCCCAATCCAGAGGATTAGGATTGCCAATAAAAATCTACTGTGTGCCCAAAAGCCAACCGCAGGACAAAGTCCACACATCTCTGGGAAGTAGTAAAGTACTCCCTACCCAGGGCAAGTACGGAAAATCCTGAATATAAGTTCTGCATTTGAGCCCGTTGGCGCAACGAAATCAGACAGAAAAACAGCCCAGGTGCCCGCCTGGTTGCCAGAAGCCACCTGAGGGATGCTGGCACAATCGCTGTGCATAGAAAGCTCGACTCATTCCTGCATCTCCTCCAAGTAATAAGCACTCTAAGTTTCCACTCGTTTCTTTAGGCTCTCTACTACACCCCTCCATGCAGCAGAAGACTGGGGGGGAGGGGGGGCACCTCACTTCTAAACGACATTGATAGCCAGGTGCAGAAATGGGGTGGGAGGCTCCACACAGGAGGGGGAAAGTGAATTCCGCAGCAAGCATGCATGGCCGACCCCAGCCCAGCCTTACAGATACCTGGACTGGTTTTTGAAGGGCTGCAGATACAGAACTAGCCAGCAGGCAGGCTGCAGAAGGATATATTCTTTTTAATTTTTACGTATACTTCATATTTCTTAACCCCCCGTCTCCCTCAGATTCCCAGGAAAGCCAGAAAGATCACTGCTGAATTTGGGAAGTTTGGGGAAACAATATGGAGGACAAAGGCGGAAATATAGGGACTGGTTCTAGGTTTTCAGAGATTAGCAGAAGAACAGAGTGGGAAGGGACCTTGGAGCTCTCCTAGTCCAGGCCCCTGTTCAAGGCAGGAGGAGACCTTATACCACTGAAGTCAAATGGCTGTCCAATCTCTTCTTCAAATCCTCCCGTGATGGAGAGGGAAGCTGTCCCACTGATTAATGGTTCTCACTGTGAGGAAATTCCTCCTTAGTTCCAAGTTGATTCTCTCCTTGATTAATTTCCGTCGGTTGCTGCTTCTCTTGCCAAGTTCCGGGAAGGTTATTTCTTTTTCTTTATCAAATGCAATTAAGCAGCTAACCAATATGCATTATTTGCATCTGGACTGCATAGCATTTACCACCCACTGGCTACCTTCACACAGCACCCTTCGTCAGCTCAGAGAAAACCCTCTCCGGTGCATTCACACAACACGCGAGGGTGCTTTCCTAGGGGTTCGTTTTCCTGTCCTTATTTAGCATAAGGTGCCGTCCCTCCCTCTTTGGCTGGGCCATGACTCAGGGAGCTGCGTGGATCCGGAAAACAGGACGACAGGCCTGTAACCAAGTTAAATCTGCTTTGCTGATGCCGCAATTGGATTACTTTAATCTTTACAAGGAGGCCTGCGAAGGTCAGCGTCCTTAATCTTCCAGGAGCTGCTCAGATCCGTTCTGCAGACATCGCAGGCAATAAACTCAGTCCAGACTTCAAAGCCAGCCCTGCCCACCCACCCACTCTCAGCCCCTGGAAGGATCCGATGGCTGTGTGACACACAAACACACACCCAGCTCGTGCAGGGCTGTTAAAGAGCAGGTAATCCTCGGCTTGCAGCCAGAACTGGGATCAGAATTTCTGTTGTTAAGCAGTTGAGTTGTTGAGTGAGTCATGCTGTGATTTTATGACCTTGTTTGTCAAGATGGTTAAACGAATCACAAGATTGTTAAATGAGTTGGTGGCCAAGCAGTTGAATTTTCATCACGTGGTTGTGGGGATGCTGCATTTTTTTCGGTGCTGTTGTATCTTTGAACCATCACTAAATGAACTGTTGTAAATCGAGGACTACCTGTATTTATCTTCCACCTTTATTTTTATAAATAACTCAAGGCAGTGAACATCCTTCTCTTTTCCATTGTTTTGAGGGGGGGGTTTCACATCTATTTGGGATGCTCCAAGCAGGAAACCCTCTCTTTGGGCAAAAGGCTAGACTTTGAGTTTGGGGGAGGGTCTCTCCTGAGATACCCCTTAAATAGGGTAAGGTTTGAACCTACAAGCTCTTGGCAATTTCAGGACGTGACAAGAGTCTCATTTGAAACATTTGAAGAGAAGAGAAGAGAAGAGAAAAGAGAAGAGAAGAGAAGAGAAGAGAAGAGAAGAGAAGAGAAGAGAAGAGAAAGAAGAGAAGAGAAGAGAAGAGAGAAGAGTATGCAAAAGATAGAATGGAATGGAAGGGAAGGGAAGGGAAGGGAGGGAAGGGAAGGGAAGGGAAGGGAAGGGAAGGGAAGAGAAGAGAAGAGAAGAGAAGAGAAGAGAAGAGAAGAGAAGAGAAGAGAAGAGAAAGAAGAAAGAGAAGAGAAGAGAGTATGCAAAAGATAGAATGGAATGGAATGGAAGGGAAGGGAAGGGAAGGGAAGGGAAGAGAAGAGAAGAGAAGAAGAGAAGAGAAGAGAAGAGAAGAGAAGAGAAGAGAAGAGAAGAGAAGATGAATTAGGAACAGAACAGAACAAAATAACTGAGTTGGAAGGGACCTTGGAGGTCTTCTAGTCCAGCCCCCTGCTTTCTTCTCCTTACAGAGTCCAAACCCCTGGACAGAGGCATCCTGACAGAACAGAGACCCAGCTGGGCCTTGGACCCCAGGCCCCCTCTTGGCCCCAGCCCCCTTTTTCCCACGCAGCGTCTGCCTCCAAAATAAGCAGCCCGCTCTTCGGCTGCTGTCCTGCATTCCAGGCGTGCAAAAGAGCGCTGGCAGTGTGCAGAGAGCTGGCTTTGCAGACAAAAGGCCCTTTTGGTCTCCTTGGCCTTCCAAGGGAACGTTGGCAGGAAAACCCGCCTGGAAAGGTGGGGCGGTGGAGCGGGTTCGGGGATCGCCTGGGCCATTTCACCTCTTCATTCCCAAAAGTGAGGAAGCCAAAGCTTGTGGAAGAAGGAGGGGAGGTGTGAATCCTTCTCTCCCCAGCCATACATGACTTTCTGTCCCGATCTGTCCTCGCCAAACCCAGGTGGGGGGGGTGTAGCCATCCCCACAGCAACTCCAGTCAGAAAGAAGATTCCAGCTGCAGCTGCACAGGTCAGGGGCCACCTGGGTCAATAGCAGTAACTGGGAGAGGCATCTCGGAGTCCCAGTGAACGAGCACTTAAGCATGAGCCCAAACGGCCAACGTAATCCTAGGTTGCATTAATGGGACAGAATCACATGAAGTGTTACTAGCACTTTACAAGGCCTTGGTATGGCCACGCTTGGAATACACCATCCAGTTTTGGTCACCATGATGTAAAAAAGACGTTGAGACTCTAGAAAGAGTGCAGAGAAGAGCAACCAGGATGATGAGGGGACTGGAGGATAAAACATACGAAGAACGGTTGCACGAACTGGGTATCTCTAGTGAAAAGAAGTTTCCAATTCCTGCAACTGGTCTTCATATGTTTTCGCTTCCAGCCCCCTAATCATCTTGGTTTATTTATTTATTTATTGGTTCGATTTATATGCCGTCCTTCTCTGGAGACTTAGGGCAGCTTACAATGCGTTAAGCAATAGCCTTCATACTTTTGTATATACCTGCTTAGTAGGGCTTTCGCCCCCCCCCCCCCAAGCAGTGTTCTTTTTTTATACAAAGTCAGCTTATTGCCCCCACAATCTGGGTCCTCATTTTACCTACCTCGGAAGGATGGAAGGCTGAGTCAACCTTGAGCCTGGTGAGAATTGAACTCGCAGTAATTGCAGGCAGCTGGTGTTACTTAACAGTGCTTTAGTCTGCTGCGCCACCAGGGCTCCTTGGTGCTCTTCTCTGTACTCTTTCCAGACCAGGGGTGACATGATAGCCATCTTCCAATATCTATGAGGCTGTCATAAAGAGGATCAATCTATTCTCCAAAGCACCAGAGCAATGGAGGGAAACTATTCAAGGAGAGAACCAGCCTAGAACTAAGGAGAAATTTCCTGACCATGGGGACAATTAATCAGTGGAACAGCTTGCCACCAGAAGTTGTGGCTGTTCCATCACTGGAGGTTTTTAAGAAGAAATTGGAGAACCATTTGTCTGAAATGGTTTATGGTCCCTTGCTTGAGGAGGGGGTTGACTAGAAGACCTCCAAGGTCCCTTCCAACTCTATTATTCTGTTACAGTTTCCCAACCTTGGTGACTTTAAGACACTTGGAGTTCATGGCTGGCTGGGGAATTCTGGGAGTTGAAATCCACATGCCTTAAAGTTGCCAAGATTGGATATCCCTGCTAGTAACTAAGCAGAGAAGGAGAGATTCCAGCAACGAAGAGGCAGAATCTTTCATGAGTTTTCCAACTAAATGAAAACATATCCAAGAATTGTTTTGCTTCTAACTTGGCAAAAATATAGCGAGACCTCCTTGGGCTCCATTGTGAAACTCTCTGGGAGAGTACTTCACAAGAAAAGTCTTTCATACTTTTCAGTTTGTTAATTGAAGGGGTGCCAGTCCTGTGCCTCACAGGGACCCGCGTTGGCATCACCAACCTCTCCCTCCCCAAATTAGCCATTCCATGCCTCTGATGAAGGAAGGTGCGGCTCACAAAAACGGAGGCTTTGGGATAAAAACTTGGACTTTGAAAAGGGGCTACCAGATTCCTGCTAATTTTTTCCCCAAAGAGCCCA